ATAAAATTTCGAATAAAACCATTCAGGAGTTATTCTCTTTTTCGTTACAAGACCAGGCGGAAAAATGTAGAGAAAACTCCCTTAATAACATTCACTATTGTTTTATAGGAACGCGCTGATAGTCAGGCAGGCTATGTAGAAAAAAAATTGCAAACAATAGATTTCAGCTAAATGTGGGTTTTTTTTTGGTTTTGAGCGCGTTAAGAGGGGTAACCAAATTTCCTGCTGGTCTAATGTTGGTTTCAGAGATCTCTCTTGATGACGAATGCAAACGATGCTAGAAATGATTGTTTTATGTTTTTGCTACGACATCACGTTGCGTTGGTGTTTTAATGAAAGTTTAACGTGTAGGAGACCTCTGTTATTGTTTTGGTAGCGCTGTAAGTTTTTTGCTATTTTGTATATTTCGCTTCCTTGGTACGGCATTTATGGCCTAAAAAAATCTGTTGCTATACATTCATAATTCATATTTTTGTACTTTTTCTTGTATTCGTGTTGTTTTTGGATACAAATCAAATCTGTTTTTCGCTCCTTGCTTAGAGATCTACGCCAACAAAATGTTTTATTGTTTTATTTTACAGAAATTGTTAGATTTGTTTTTTTGCATCTTTTACTCTCTCTTTTTTTAGAGTTTTGTCAGTCTCTGGTCAAATGTTGCACAATTTCCGTTGCTCTATCACCATCACCAGATTGTTGTTGATGCATTTGTTTCAGTTTAAACTTCTGCTTAATATGTTTTGTTTATTTGCCATTAAAACGTAAATATTCCTCTAAATTTTTGTGTGTTTCATATTTTATTGAGAATTTATTTCGGGCATTGTTTTGGGTTTAAAAAAAAGAAGAATAAAAATGTGCAAAAAATATTGCTGATTTTTTTTCGGATTGAAAAAGCCATCTAGGGGAAGTAATTGCTATTTTTGTAGGGCAAACATATAAACGAAGGCTTAGTGTTAATTTTTTTTTTATTTTATTTTTATTTTTTTAATAAACATATATCAACGGATTTAATGGTATTCTTGTCACATATTCAAATAAAGTTAAATTTTTTTTTTTCGAAATTCTAAAATGTTATAAGTTTTTCATGTTGACACAAGTGATTTATAAATATTTTAAATGATATGAATAAAAATCAAAGATATTTAATAAAATGAGATAATACTTTAAGGCTTAAAGAACAATTTCCACTAGCATATTTCCGCGAATAAAGTTTTCTTGTACAGCAATTCTCATTACATACTGAGCTTATTAAGTCAAGAACGGGTTTCGTTTTGTCTTATGCAATCATTAAAATGGTTACGTGGCGGCAGCGTTTGCAATCAATTAAGGAAACAAATAAGCAAACAATGGCACTAATTAGATGAGATGGCGAATAATTAATATTGGAGAAAAGAATCGAAAGCTTACATCCATAAAAACGGAAGTGAGTAATTAATGAGCGTTAAGATAATGGTTGGACTAACGTAGAACTTACCAAATCTTCTGGATTCTGCTGTTTTTTTCCAATTTATCAAAAAGCCAACATTAGATTTTTGAATTCTTCTAGAAATCAGCTACATTAGCATTTATATGATGTCTTATAGCTGATAGAACGGATATATACGTGTTCGTAAAAATAATTAACTAGTACTTGACTTTTATACTTTCAAATTAAATACTAATGGGTACTTTGCACTCGTAAATTTTTGAAAGTTTTGTGAAAACAATATTCGATTTAAGGCAAATCTTCTGTATTCATCGCCAAAAGCGATCATAAAGCAAGAAAGCAACACTTATATTTTTTGGGCCAGCGATGAGATTCGCGCTCGAATGCACTATCCTTCCGGCTTTTATCCGCTACTTTCTGGTTTTCTTTATACGTACCGTTCTGATAACGCAAATGTAATAATGCCTCTTATTTGAACTTATCTCCACAATTGTATTTTATTTGTTTATTGGGAAATGGGCAGGCTGATCGCGCAAGTAAGCTGCTTCTGCTCCTCTAATTATGGATGATGTCATGGAAAAGTTGGATCTTCAAAGATGCATTGGAAGAAAAGTTATAGAGAAAATTGCAGAAGGAAATTTACAATACCATCATCAACACTAATCTTCCATTAACCTCCAATTAATTCCGCCTTTATATCCAACAAATATTGAGAAAACCAAGATTCAAACATTTTCGAGACTTCGTCTTGGTCATACAATTGCAACTCACCAATGGATCTTGCAGAAGTCTTCCTCCCCAATCTGCAGTCGTGGAGTGCCTTAACTTTTCCTTGCTATTGCATTTGGAACGACTAACCCTTTGGATATTCTAAAATCAACTTCAGAACCGAATTCTATATATTACTTTATTAATACTACGAAGCTTAGTAAATTAGAGCCGATAGCCCGTGTTGCTAACGCTCAATGTCTTTTTCATTTTTCATTAGTCTAAAACTATAATAATAATAATATTTTAATTGCAGTATGACTTTATTTTTTTGAATTTTTAGACATCTAGGTTAAACTTCCAACGCTTTACTAACCTAAATGGTGTTACTGCACGATTTACTACAGTTCACCACTTTCACATATAAACTTTACTCGGTCTCGGCCCGAAACCAAATTAGAACGGATTTTGTCTTTTCCTAGAAATTTTTCTCGGCATTGCTATCAGCTGGAAAAAATCCTGTCTTCATGTCTAGCCAGTCAAGTGGGGCTTTCGCATCTCTAAACTTAATCTGATCCAACTATATATAGCCAACGTGAACCAGTGAGTGGGGTCAAAACGGCGAACGATTATGGTTGTCACAAGTTTTTTGCTCGAATCCGTTTTCGATATCCGTTAGAACTTGCATTTCCTAATTTTTTTTGTATTAAAAAGTTATTAAGAGCTCCATGTGCGCATGCGAGCTCTCGTTCGTTTTCCATACTGAATCCAGAATTAGAACAAATCTGGAGAGTTTCCACTCGCTGTGGCAGGCGCTACCCTAATTCAAATTAGGGACTTATGTGTACGAAAGATTTGCTGTTGCGATCGCAATGCAATAAGACATTTTCATTTAAAACACGCGGGCTTACCGAAGCAAGTGGATGTGTTACGTTTGCGAGAATGTGCGGAACACTCAAAGGGACTTACTGTAGATCTACCTTTTGTTGTTCCAATCCATTCTGAATAGTTTTCTAAAGCCATATAAGTCGCTCTGCTTGCCTGATATCTGTCCAAGTGGTCTCATTTTAAAACTACAAGCTGCAATTTTTAAGATATTTTTATGAAATTCGCTATGTTGACATATTTTGGAACGAGGATTAACACTACTGAAAACGCATGGATATTTACAAAACGTATGACAACACGGTTTGCTTTTTAGTCATGACCGTTACTCCAAAACGTGGCTTGGCTTATTTCGTTTGTTTTTGTAGAATATTTATCGTGCGCCCTGTGTAGTTGTTGAGCATTGAGGAAAAAGAACGCAAGTAAACGTGTTGTTAATTCTTGTTCCATTATAGACGTGCACTTTAACCGGTTTGGACGAGTTTCAAATTCTTTTGCAAATTCGAAGGCTCTTTGCGAAAGCGGGAATGTTTATCGCAGATACTAAATAATTGGGCCGGCAGACAGATGGACTTGTGAACAGACGTAATGCTTAAGTAAATTACTTTTGTGCGTTGTAAGGACAAAATTTTGACAAAATTTTTATACTGTAGACGTGGCCGATTTTTTTCCATTTTCGCACAGGTATTGTAGCATCGACCGTAGAATATATGCTTAAAGCTTTATGGGTTTATCTGCCGTAGCTTTTGAGTGGAAATAAGCAAAACACCTAAAGCGGCCAGCAGATTCAGAATTGGATGTTGATCAAAAATGTTATTGTAAATTCTTTGAAACTAAGAGTTGCAAACGTTTTGAGAAAATGAATATACCGATCAACCGCAGACAATGTATTAAAATTAATAGTTGATATCAGCTAGACTTGCAAGAAGGACAACAAAAAAAAAAAACAAGAATATATGTAAACAAACAGGGAAAAGTCTTTACGGTAACATCTAAGAAAGCATATTTATATAATGTTTACTGAACATCATTGTACATCTCTTGATAACTCAAACATGCATTTTTTAATGCTTTTGTCTTTTGGAAAAAGTTAAATTTCACAAATTTTCTTTTTACTGACCGGCAAAAGATAAAAAAAAAGTATAGAAAATGTATAATAAATTACTCCCCCTTTATCAATGCAAAAAACATTTGAAAACATCAATCAATGTTGCTTTTGCTTTTGTTGTTGTTGCTGTTGTTATTATTACTGTGCCCTTAGCAGATGTATCGATATCAATATGAAGGAATAAATATTTTTGCATGCATATGTATATCGGCTACGTTATGTACATCACAATTACTATTGAATTCTCTCCTGGGGGGTAATAGAATGCCAATGTTATTCAAACAAACATAACCAATGAAAAATATGTTGTATGTATTTCTATGATGGAAACGTGATGACAATATTCAAACAAAAATATTTGTTTCTCTCTGTTTTTGTTACGACTTCAACACGACAAGAAACTATTAGTTATGCAAAATGTGTACATTTTCGTTGGTGTGTACCAGGGAGGGAGTAAGCAAGCAAATATTGTGCTGCTAGAGGCTTGTATAGTAAGGGAAAAATTAATATGAAAATATTGATAAGTCGTAATAAATGAAAAAATTTATTCGTTTTGCTGAATGTTTAATTACACCGATAGGTCACAAAAAAAAAAAGGAAAATAATAAATAAATTAATATTCATTAATCTGAATTGTTTTTTTTTTTTTTTTGTTTTTGATTTCGATTTTCATTTCTTGCTTAATGAAATACTTATTTTTTCGATGTTCGTTGAATTTAAAAAAAGAATTGTATTTTGTTTTATTTTCCTTATTAACAAGTCGTATTAAGTAATTTCATTAGACATAAAACTCTCCGTCCGTTATCTTGCATCTGAGTGTACGCGCCCTATTGCTGTTGTTTTTTATTTCTTTGTAAATATGTCACACATACTTACCACAACACCGTTAATAGTCCACGTCAAATTAGCAGCTGGTTTAGAGTATTTAATTGAGCAATTGCCGTCAACCAAATCACCGATACGATAACGTGGCTGTATACCCGTCACACTGGCCTGTTCAATCGGTAATTCTATGCATAACACGAAAACAATGCCAAACAGTACATAGTAGTGAAGCAATGAATCAAGTGGAAAAGCAGTAGTAGTGAAGAGAGAGAGATAAAACGAAACGAAAAGACAATGGAGATTTCTTACTAAATGCTTACATCCAAAAGGAGGGCAATAGCAACTGCAGCAGCAAAGTATCGCAATCAAAGTGAACCGGACGATAATGAGTACTGGTGTTTATTGAGCACAGAATTAAGAATGTTGCTGTTGCTATTGCTATTCATTTGTCTAATTAATTTGCTAATGCTGTTGTTGTAAATATTGTTGTTATGCTCTTTTTATTCCTTGTTTTTCGTATCGACTTTAACATACAGAATATTTTTTTTCGGCACCTCACCAGAATTTTTCACATTTTTTTCACGTTTTCTTTGCACTTACCCACAACCTCCATTTCACCGGAAATCATAGCCGTTTGAAATGATGGCGCTTCCACGGATATTTCACAAGTAAATTTTCCAGATATATTCAAAGGTACAGCCAGCAAAACCACATGACTTTGATTGGAAAGATTGCGCTAAAAATGTAGAACAAAAAATACAATGCAAAAATATAACAAAATTAAATAAAATAAATGAGAAAAAAGTGTCCGGAAAATTTTAGTAAAATCCGTGAAATTTCTCGAACGTATTCGATTTTTTTAAATCTTTTTACTAATAACGCATAATGTAATTCGTGAAAATTATTATGCAGAACACACAGACTTTTTAACAGAATTTCCTTTTTTTTAATATTTAGTTGGAAATTAGCTGTAATGAATAATGTATTTTTCTTTTTCTTTCTCTCTTTTTTTTATTGATGGCCACCTGCTCGATGAGTGTGTATGCATCTGTGTATGCGAGTTCATGTACATGATATAATTTATTTTGTTACATTAGTTATGGTAATAGTCGGCCATGGTTCGTTCGTAAGGTGAAAATTTAATCACTTTTCTTGTTATTTGAAGATTTATGGTGTGTCGTGGTGGCTTGAAGCACAAATTAGTTGGGAAACCTAATTGAAATATTTTAATTAGTAAATGTGATGAGAAAGTGAAGAAGAATATTTTTTAGTGAATTTTGTGGAAGTATATGCAACAGAGTTAGCGGCTGGAGGATTTTTGAAAATTTTTAATATTTTTCTGGCTTTCGTTACAATTCATGTTGGTATCTTTTATCGTTTAGTTTATATTACAAAATAAAAAAAAACATTTATTTGATGATACTAAAACCAATCTCTAGAATTTTGTAACTAAATGTCAACTAGGAATGTGCACGTTAAAAATCTGCTATCTATCGAAATTTTTGTCACCGTAAAAGTTTGCAAAAAAAGCCAGATAGGCGGACTGATAACAGTATTATAAATTATTTCGTTATACTCGTTATGGCTTTTTTTAACGATTACTTTTAGATGCTGTCTAGGCGGAATTATAAAACTTTCGCATTTCCATTCATTACGAGATATATAAAAATGATAAATTTCGTTTTAAATTATAATTAATGATTTATTATCAGTTCTACCATTGGCGAGGGGTGTAGTTGACTAACTTCAAACTAAAATTGAATTAGAATAGAATGATTGCCTCTTAATCTTTTCTATTGGACGATGCTTAACGTGAGAAATATCTTTGATTGAAAGGTTGTTTTTTATTTTTTTATTTCTCTACGTCACTTTATGTATTGGTATATTTTTACAAATAATAGTTTTTGAATGAGTAAAAATTTCCTAAAATATGTCGCATAATTCATGTATATGTTGAAAGATGGAAAGGTTAATTAAAATGTAGAGATCAAGCATACGAAGGTTTCCATGAACCGGATTTCGTCTTTTTAACGATTCGAGCAGAAAGCGAGAACACCGCAAATATCTCTCGGATGTCGAATAATCAAGCAGCTTTTCCGTAAGGGTAAGATGACTGTACATTTCTCAGATAATCAAATTTTTTTATAGGCTGAAATGATCCTTTATGATATGAAAAGACAATATCTGCATGGAAAAACTTTAGATGGTCAAATAATTTGTTATTTTGCATATAATTGTACGGCATTGTAGGGCGTCTTGAAACTGGAAATGCGATTTTCTACAAAAACGATCTTTAAAAACCGTCCATTCTTTTAATCCGAAATTTTTTTAATATCTTTGAAATAAGATTCCCTAGGGCGAAGCGTAAGATGTTTTTGATTAATTCATTTAGGCAATTTTTTAAAATAAATCTTCATTCTTCTCTTCTTTTTGTTTTGTTTTTTTTTAAATCAAATTTGCACCAAAATTTGCATGAGCAACAGAGCGGAGAAGATGGCTTATGAGAATGGCTCCAGTGTGGCCATTTTTTAGTATTTTTGGAAAATAAATTTGTTTTCTAGCACTTAAAGGTACTCTTAATAATCTCCTCAAATATTGTTACTCTATTACTATTCCCTCTATTGCAAAAAAATTATCGAAAAATCAATTTTTCTAAACTGTTACAGTAGCCTTGCTTCTTAATTATGAGCGTGCTGCTCATCTCTTGAAAGCTATAGTTACTCCCTTAAATTTTTAATTTCAATCAGCCACAAATTGTAAACTTTTTGCTCGAATATCTTTACATTGAATTCTTATTTTTGAACTATCTATTATCTATCTATTAGCTAATTTGGGAGTTCACAGATAAAGACGGGCCATAAAATCATTTGGGTTAATCTCCATCAAAACTATCACTAAATACCATGGAGATAATTTGTAGCGCCTTGCGGAGAGTATGTTAATGATTAAATAATGGAAAAATAATAAAATGCTTATAGATCAATTTAATGCTTTCTTTTTGAAATCTAGCCCCAATCTTTTGCGAATAGCTCGTGCAAACAGCATAGTACTTACTGAAACTTGGCTTAAGCCAAGTGTTAACGATTCGGAGATTTTTTGTCAGCATATTCAGGTCTTCAGAATGGATAGGATGCTAATTGCTATAAAAAAATTGCTGTCCGTGTGAGTTTGTCGATTTTAAGATTAAAGCTATCAATATCTCCCTCTTTGAAAAGGTATCGTACATTCTTCCCGAGCAATACAGCGACACCTATTTGCCGTGTCGAGCCATTTATTTCAGAATAGCTATCATCTAACTCTTTTAATATGTTTGACTGTTTTTTTAGTCAAGAGCTTCAGTAGGGAACTGTCGAGTACCAAGAATTATTTATTCAGGAAAACTAATTGTCATGATCTTAAAAATGCTTTAGGTTCAACGTCTTAGGACTTGGATTTTAATGATGTTGAAAGGTCCCTCTCTCCGCTATTTATAGTAATCTTTTGTCTGAAGCTTCTATATCGATTCCGTTTAATCTATTTAACACTCCATCGGATGAATACATTTCTTTGCTTTGATTTAGTGATCATCTCTGGAAACTGACAAACAAAAAGAACTGGCTTTCTAGAAAGTACAAACGCAGCGGTTTATCTATTGGTCAAATAGTTAGCTGTCAGGCGTAACGTTACGTTTCCAAAAAGTGAATGTTATGAAATTTATAGAAATAGGATGAAAAATAAGATTCTCTCTGATCCTGAAATTTATTAAAAGATTTTTGACTCGAAGCGGAAGATCATAGACTATCCGCTTATCACGAGAAGTCAGAGGCGTCACAGGATCTTCCGATAGCTACCCTTTTTACAGAATTCTTTCAAAAATCTTATTTTATTACTGCTACGCCGGCGGTTGTTTATCCTTATCATGTTAACTAATTACACATTTTTGGGTCGATTATACTATCGGAATTGGAAATCTTTTCTGCATTGCTTACTCTCAAGTTCAATTATCTTGCGGGTTTGGATGATATTCCATCCTGTATTCTCAAGAATCGCGCGGATGTGCTTTGTACTCGCTTGATGCATGTTTTTAACAACTGCTTTAAGTTTTACTACTATTCCTTAGCATGAAAAAGTAGTTTTATTATTCCCTTTTGGTCCTCGAGACAATATCAATAATTACAGGAGGATTACAAAATTCTATGCCCTACCTAAGTTATTGGAAACTTTATTATCTGCTAGATTGTCATCGGCTGCAATTTGATTTGACATCTTTGAATGGCTGGCATTCTGTTGACGGTATTCCAAGTAAAGTAAGCAAATGCTAGACAATGCCATTCTATTGGGTGCACTGTCTACTTTTTATTCTATCAACAATTATATGCTGAAGAATGTATCTTGCTGTATTATTTGATTCCAGGTTCAACTTTCACCTTTAGCTTGCCGTTAACAAGGCCAATTCGGTTTTGGGCTTTATTAAGAGACAGGCTAAAGAATTTAATGACCCATAAAACGGGTCTACACACTGCACTTGTTTGTTCGATTTTGGAACATTCTGCGGCGGTTTGGGCTCCTTATTATCAATGGCAAATCAAAAATAGAGTCTGTTCAGAGAAATTTTCTTCTTTTTGCTTTACGCGGCCTGCCACGAGATTTTTATGATTAAATTGATTCGGGGCTGGGTTTCGTCTTCTTATCTATTAAACTTTGTCGATCATTGTCAATGTTTACGATATTATATTCCTTTCAGACTCTCTCATTGCTGCACGAATAATCTACTGTTTAGTCCGTTTGCCTTGCTATGTAGGCTTTATAGCTGACATTATTATTGCTTTGATCAGTTTACTAATTCTATTATTACGATTAAAATAATACTGTTATTATAATGTACATTGTTATAAAGTGATAATTGTAGTGAATAACGAATTGTTAATGCAATTAATTAAATAATTAAGTGCACCCTAGAAGGTTAGATTTAGATAAGTGTCTTATGTTGGTATTATTACTATCAATAGTATTAGCTTAAGGTCTAAGTTTTGCTTTGCTTTTTAGTTCTTCTATTCTAATTCGTTTTTGTTACCAATTTTGAATAAATAAATAAACGGATAATATTCGTGCTATTATTATGTCTCTATTCATTATGTTTAATTTGCTAAATTATTTATATTATTTTACTTTAGGTTGCAATGAAAAATGTAATCTTATCTAATGCTTTATGTTTGGCTTTTAAGGCAAATACAAAACAAAAAATTTAATATCGTTAAGCCGTAACTATCAAATAATTTAATATAATTTATTACTAACCTCTGCTTCTTTTAGTTTGCCATAAATAATTAAAATTTGTTCATTTCCCCGAGAATAATGAAATAATAAGAATTATATTTTAAATAATTTATTTATTATTGATTTTAATGTTTTCACTGATGATATTTGTTTTATTTGCTTAATATGCACGCATATGTTAGGAAATGTAGTTAATTTATCATTCCGTTTGTAACGTCTATACGGATGTATCTAATATGATTGAAAGCAATTATCCCACTCTCTAAGTGATTCTAGATTAAAAACTTTGACACGAATAGGTTTTTTAAAGCTACTTTTTGCGATGCTAGTCCTCCTGCTATGCATATACGTAAGGTACAGATAGAGTTTTTGATTCAGCATTTGACAATATGGGTTTTCCTAAAAATACATCGTATTAACTAATACTCATCTTCACAATTAAAAATTCTTATAACACAAAAGGAAAAAGATACGAAATGATTTCGGAAACTTCTAAATAAGACTTTATAAGCCTAATTACCGATATCGCACCAATAATAAAGATCGCTGGTCTCAATCGAGTTACAACATGCCCGCGTTACGATACAACATATATAACATACTGATAGGCGTTCAAAATCCGTCTAAGATGCATTAAATGTGAATTAAATGACATTTATTTGTTAAGGATAGTTTTTGTTTTGTCTTTTCCAAAATATATATGTATATATAAACATCCGATGCTAAATAAGCCACTTAATGCTCTTTACATAAATTAATACTTATATATCGTATATTCATTATAAAAAAAGACAAAAACGATAAAAAAAAATAAACAAAAGCTATTTTCGAGTCGAGTCGCATTTTTTATACCTGTCATTGTCTTACCTACGGACGATATTTCATTGTAAGATGTGGTGATGATATAGATTGCACATATTTCAGATTAGCGGTTTTTGGAAATTAAGAGCAAAGGATATTGAACTGAATTTGTTCTTCGCTTACAAATATTTAACAACTTTAATGTTCTGAAGAAAGAGGAAAACATTGACAGGCTGCAATTAAAAAGACATAACCTTAAAACGTCCACGACATATTTATTAGCAAGATGGTTTCAATATTTTGAAGCCGTAATTCAAAGAAAAAGGGAAAATCATAATTTTTCATTTTTCCTGTTTTGATTGTAGACACATCAAAAAAATTATTCAATAACTTTTGAACTTAATCTCGTGATAATACAATAAGATATTTTATTTGAAATGAATTAAATTTTTGCAAGCGAAGTTACGATGACTTTAATAGATAGACGGAGGGAGCTAAATCAAGAATATATATATCAAGTTGGCAAAGATAAAACTTGTAGTTTACAATTTTGCCTGCTTGTTATTCGACAATGACCTAACATTTTGCCCTACTTTTTTTGTTGTTAAGAAGTTACACAAGTACGTAGAAGCAAATTATTTCAAGCTCTAAAAAATATTATTAAGATTATTTAAAAATTTTTTTTTTTGATAATAAATCGGTCGGAAATTCGCAAATTTCGTGTTGGTAACGCCACAAATGATCCGGGCGGTCCCCAAGAAACAAAGGATAATAATGACTTACTAAAAGCCATCGTTGAGTTCGACCCATCTCCAAGTGCTTATGAATTATCTTTAAAATTTGGCAAACAAATAATATAATCATTCAGCTTAAATCGGGATAGTGAAAAATTTAGATGAGTGGGTGCTCCATGAACAGAACGAAAAACAGAAACAGAAGCGTTAAGAAGTTTGTTTGATGTTGCCTTCTTGTCATAAATCTGATCCATTTTTCAATGGAGTAGTCATTTGTGATGAGAAATGAATTCAATGTGACAATTGGAAATATTCAGCGCTGTGGTTAGACAAGAACGAATCACCAAAACATACTACAGCGTAATATTCATCAGAAGACGATGGCAAGTTATTCGTGCTCTAGCGCAAGTGTATTTCATTACGATTTCATAAAATCATTTTTACCGATCACAGCAGAAATGTACTGTAATCAACTAAACAAAACACTTAGAGAAAAATAGCCCAAATTGGTCAACAAATCGACGTTTATATTACTAAAGATAACGCCGGACCACACATTGTGCAAATGACCATGACAAAAGTACAGAAATAGGAGTTGGAACATCTTCATCATCCCCTATACTCACCAGAGTTGGCACTGCCATTTCTTCCCAATTTGAACAAGCTTTTGATACGAAAAAATTTCAATTCCGCTAATGCAGTAAAATTGGTCTTCCGGGGTGTTATAACTTCGGTCTGACCGACCTACCGCTTAAATGGCAAAAGCGTGTAGACAATATGGGCGCATATTTTGATGAATAAAATAATTTCTTATATAAGTTATCAGCAAACTTTATCTTTTTTTTACGAATTTCGTCCTGGATAGCTTAATACACTTCATCTAGGTTTCCTTGCCGATTTCCGTACGTTTCTAACGTTTAATAAATTGATAGTGGATCTGTGATGCGTATAATCAAAAGTGGCTCTTTTTTAAGATAAATCTTTTACAAATTCCATAGATTGCTATCTGCAGTTTAAAGCATTCTAGCCAGATGCGAAAAATATGTTAATTTCTTCGGAGAGCACAGGTGAGTATTACTAGATTAATGCATTAAAAGTGTCAGAGTTAAAAATGTAATAGCGAGGGAGTAAATATGTAAAGTTAAAATTTAGGGCATTTCTTGAGTTCAGTATTTCAGGCTTTATTGTAATTGCATTTGATTCATTTCTGGAGGATGAATATATCTTAAATACAAATTTTCGAACTTTTTATTTAGATCCTCAAGCTGCGCAGTAAAATGAGAAGAGGGTCAAATTAAATTGATTCAGAATTTCGTGCCATGGAAGCATGGTTTTCAAAATATTTAATGTGCTATCAGATGAATACTTCTAGGTGACACTAATGGCAATATAAAACGAATGTACTTCTGTCTGCCGTGTTGGTGTAAAAACCATGAAAACAACAGATTGCACAAAGTAATAGAGACAGTGAGGGAAATGTGGAAAGAGAAAAAGAAATTAAGGCACATTGTGCATTAAAATGGCTTAAAATTGTTAAAACGTAGAAAAAAATGTAAGTGCATACATGAATAACTGCTGTTATTATCTGTTTTTCTACATGTTTTAAATAATTCTTTAGCAAAAGTGAGGCATGTTGAAAAGGGCGGAAAACAAACACAAAAAAATTGTAATTTTTTATTAATATCAAAAAAAAGGACAAAAACGAATTAAATTATATCTGTAAGCTTCACAATCGATAATGTATTGTTAACTTTAATAACGCATTTTTGTAGCTTTTATTGTAATGTTGCCGTGTTTTTGTCTGTATTAATAATGTTTTCAGTAATATGCCTTTTTGCCGTTGCCACAGAATTCATTAAAATGTTTTACTCTTGAACTTTACATAATATATATTACATATATTGCATTTTATATAAAAATTCTACGCACAACGTAGCGAATGTGTTAGTTTAATCGAATGTTCTACTTGTTTAGTACCACGGCTGAGAACTAACATGAGCTATAAATATTCTTGATCGGGATTTTTAAGTAAAGTCCCTATGAGCGCCAGGCTCCTGAAGATGCGCTTATTCGAGCAAAAATTAATTTGTTCCAAATTCTGTACTATGTTTTCTTCCATTCAATGGAAACGTTACTAATTAAAAATAAGGAACAATTTCGATTTGAATTTCCGTGGCAAAATTAAGATTTTATGACGATTTAATATCTGTTCCGATATTTGAAATTGCATTTATACTATAGTTTGTTTGCAAATTGCGACCAAATGCTTAATTAAGTGCAGGCAAACAAGTGCTGGTACAATGTCGTTAGGAGAAACAAATAGACCTAAACTAGGCTTTTTCCGATAAACCTTGTTTAAATCATCCGGGTGTTTTACAGGAGCTTGCAAATGAACGTCTTTGTCTATTTCAAGAAGAGATTTGATTGAAGCGACGAATGTAATGACGTAATCAATTGCTATTAACCATTCAGACCAAAATCTAGTAGCTACTATCGCAAACCATCACGCCATCAAGCATCCTAAAGGTACATTCAAGGGGATTGCGGCTAAAGATTTCACGACTAATAATGCCGTCGTGTATTTCGCATTTTTACATGCTGCAGACACAAATGACAGAAATATTTTGAAAAGGGCAATTTATTCACACTACGTTCCATTACAAATTGCTTAACTATAAGTAACCTAACCCGCCTGCTTATTTTAGCGACAGGCTTATTTAAACCCATCGTGTTTAATGTTGATATACTTTTACTTTCATTCTTGAACTCGGCGAGAATTTCGAGTCGACAGTTTGCTCGAATTAAATGCAGGAAAGCAACAATTCATATCTCCTGTTTGATCAATTTATAATATTGATTCAATGTTTGTTAATTCACGCATTACGTAGCAAACTATCTTATACGTAAAGACGTAATACGTCTTTCCACAATTCATAGTAATATTATGTCTGTTTTTAGAAAATAAAATCGTGTAATGTCTGCACCCGCGCTTACAATTTACAATTAGTGTACGCATAGTTTCTTAATAATATAGGGTCAACAGCCAATTGGAACCAATTCGGTTGCCTACAGAAGTGCGATTTTAATTTGTGAGATTCGAAATATGTATACATAGTTCGAAACAGGCTGACAATAATTGCGTTTTTTTGCCAGCTGCGGATAGAGCCAGAGATTGATTTTAGTTAGTTTACTTAATTTAGGGGGAAATGGCAACAAAAATAGCCGATAACTGAGGTGCGCACTAAAGTAAAAAAAAGCAGGTAGAACTGAATTTTGCGTAAGGTTTGGGAATGCTGGTGCAAGCAATTAAACCAAAAATGACTCCTGATCTAGTTTTCGTATATTTCTTAGATTTAATTGTGATTTAAATGATTCGTGGTTAAACAGCAAACTAAAGCGTTGAAAGAAATATCACGGCTTCACCTTCAAGAAAATAAACGAACCTGAGACGGCGGCGCCTCGCCAGTTGTTCTATGTCTCTATAATTAGCAAAAATGCGGACAACAGATATCCAATATACACTGTTGTAAAAAAATTGCTTTTCGATCATTAACCATGTTGCTCTCTTATTTAGATTTTGCTTTGATTAAATCTTGCAGCAATAGTCCTTACGTGGCGATCTATTTGTATACTAATGTATTGTGCTGTAATTATTTAGTCGGTTGGTTACGCTCATGTATTGATTAAAAAAACAAAAACCAAAGAGCGGAGGGGAATATCAAAAGATTCTATCTGAGGCAAATATAATATTATGTCTTGTTTGTTTCTAAATTTCCTTTTTTTTTATTTTGGTTGTTTGGTTTTCAGTTTATAGTTAGTGCACGTGGTAACAGGAAGGATAAATCTATTCAATTTATATTTTTTCTCTCTTCGTCTGTGTCTACTGGTGTATAATATTGCTTACCTCCACATTTAGACCGCTCTGACTGGGGAAAACTTTCATAGCCGGATTTTCCTTTGGTGTGTAACGATAAAATTCACGTCGTCCTTTATACCATTTTACCGAATATAAAGTATCATTTTCCATATCGTAATTACAGGTAAGCAAAGCATTACTGCCACGTTTAACAGCTTGTGGTATCGTTACCGAAACATCCTTTAAAGCCGTAATAAAACCTGTAAAAACCAAAAAAGAAATAAGTAATAATATTATAAAAAACATAGAATAGCAAATAAAATACAGGAAAATATAAAAATATATACAGTAGGTATTAAGAAGAGTACCTATAATATAAATGCCAGTTGAATAGAATGTATATGGAAAAGTTTTTAAATGTACATTTGTAGAAAGGATATGAAAGGAATAAAACACAAACAGGAAGTTTTGAGTTGTTAAAAACTTAAATAAACAAGGTAACATAAAAGGGATAAGTAAGGGCGTTAAGGAATTAAAAAAGAATTTTTATTTGTACATAATTTTTAAAAAATTTTATAAAAGGAGGAAATAGTACATCAAAAATTTGCAGAAGTGCTCTGAAAATTTATGTCGTCATCGGAGAGATATTACGGCTGCGTTGAATAGTGATGTCAGGGCTTCTCTTCTAATCTACGAAACAGTATGTGAGGATTGTTTTGAAGCCATTTCAACAACAAACACGCAAAAAGAATTCGAGGTTTGCCAGCAAAGCGGAAAAAATCGCTCTTCCCGAAACAAAGCAGTTAATTGATCTACCAAAAAACTCTCTACTTAACAGGGGGAAAATATAAGCATACTTAATTGCCTTTCTTCATGACATCATCTATCGTTCTATTACTAACGTTTAGTTATATAAACGGAAAGCTAATACGCAATTTTCCTTGAAAGTGGTATAAATCGATTTTTTCAAGGATTTAGGTAATGATGACGATGAATGCCATTGGCTGTGAGCTTTTTATCTATAAACAGTTCCCGAACAAAATTCCTTCAAAAATGTCATAATTTTTCCAATACAAATTTACATCATATACAAAAATGCCGTATCAAATAATTCATCAAGGTACGATTTTCACATTTTGATAACTTAAAAAACGGTGCAACACCATTTGTAGTCATTAAAAGTGTAAATTTCTTTTAAATAATACTTTAAGGACGATCGAATTATAAACTTACAGCAATTTAATATATAAAAAACCTATCATTCAAATTAAATCCTTTAAATATCTCTGCATAATATAAAATGAACCTACACCGCCTTTAAGAAAACGAATCATATATTTGATGCGATTTTCCGACCTGAAAATGAAATAAAAAGTTCACAAGAAATGTTTTTGCTATAATTTACGCGCTAGTTTTCAATTTACGAGAAAATGAATTCAAATTACGCTACAATTTTACATATTTGCTTGTACTTTAACAAGTACTTATATACGTTTCACTTCAAAGCGGGCATAAGTTCCTAACATGCTTTAATTAGTTTTCTTTTTAAAGTATTCCAACGAAAAAAAAAAATGTTTTCCCCTCTTTAAACGAAAATTAGCCATAATTTTTCCTTTAACAAACATTATTACATTACATCATGCACATGATGGTTTATATTCAACTACGTGCTTGCAATACGCTCAACATGTATTTGTATGTGTCTATGACTGCATACTGTTTGCGGTTATGTTATGTCATGTTGCATACATAATAAATATTACTATGTAGACACATCTGTGTATATATACATATTGTTTTCCGTATATATAAATTGATGTTTACGTATATGCATGCACAGTATACATCTGCATGCAGTAGATGATGTTTTACAATTTTTCTGTTTCTGTTAACAAATCATAAAGTTTCCGTCCTTTTTTTTAAAGTTTTTTATCTATTTAACAACACAATACTAGCAGCATCAGTAACAATCTGTATCATGAGCAGTGATGTAAACATTTGTGCTTATATCTCCCTCTCTCTGACACTCCTTCTCATTTTACATTTTTTCTATCGGTTTTGTGTAACGTTCAGATATATTATGTTTCATTCTGATGACATCTGTTGGTGTTTAATGCAGCAAAATATGTTGACCAGTAGTACAGAAGAAATATAAACTTATTTAAATGATTTAATAATTGATGTTGTTATTAGTACTGAGAGCGTAAAGCGATTGAGTCGCAATTTAATTTTTATAAATATAATATGGTAAGCAGTCATACTTTACCCAAAATAGCAGTAGAGTGTAAATCGATTTATTTTTCTTTTATCAATCGACTTATTTCAAACTCGGTTTTAAATAATTTATCTATTTTTATGTTTTATATCAATTGTTAAGTTAAAGTTATATTAAGTTTGTGCGGATGTATGCAACATCAACGTCTTGAGATACATCTATCTTTAATTAGAGCAAATTATTTATAGTAGTTAATGGAATAAATTTTATTCTGTTCTTTTGCCCCTTTTCTCTCCTTGTCAAATGATGGCTATTCTGGCTTATTTTCAAAGTGCACGTCTCCATTTTCGAACTAATTTGATTAAATTTTGCAAACTGCTATTGAAAACAAGAACGGATAGGACCATTTTTGCATTTTCGAGTCACTCCTTAAATAAGAAAGCGTTTATATGGCAGCAAGATATTATTTTTGATATTTTATGGGAAGTATAGGCGAGAAATTGCGGCAATGTAATGCCGAGTATTTAATAACCGCGCAGTTACATTGTTTTCTCTTATTTTGATAAGATTTCGCTTTTCCGAATTTTTAAAATCAAAGAGATTAAATTATAAAATCCTTCGTTTTAATAAGCAGTTATTCCGAAACTGTTCTAAATCGTTTACCAAAATATTTGCAAACCCATCACCGAGGGATGAGGGGTGTATTCATTTTGCCGAAGCGTTTGCAACGCTTCCAAGAAAGCATCAGAGACGCAACAAGATGTACACATTCCTGATCAGCATCAAACTCTAAATCGATTTAAGCAGGTTCATCTGTCCACACGTGTAATGTCTGCTGTAAACATTCGCAGAAACATTTAAAGTTTTTGCATGCAGGTATTGAAAATGGGCCAAATCAGCCGAAAGACACGCCCATAACAGCGCGTAAACTGAGAACACCTCAGTTTTTCGAAGGAAATGAAAAACTGTTTTTTTTGCTCATTACTCATAAACTACAATAAATACATATATATAAAAATTTGAACGCATATTTTATAGGCTGTACTGTAGCATTTGTGCGAAAAATGCAAAAAATTGGCCACGCTTACTCAATATTTCGGTGTATCAAAATTTAATTCTTTTTTCAATACACTTATAACGCGCAGCAACAATCTTCAAAAATCCCACAAAGTACACAAATTCTTGGCCAAACCTGCCCGTCTGTCCACCTGCTTGCTTGCGGAACCTTTTAGTATTTGTGGTAAATATTCTCCCATTAGCGAAAATGAATATGTCGCCTACAAATTTGCGAAAGAATGTGAAAGTTAGCTAAACTTTTCAAAGGACACGTCTATAACACCCACATGTATCTACAACAAAAATTTTTATTGGGAACAAAGGATTCGGTCCCGACCGAACTTAATTTTCCTATTTGTTCTCTCTTTCTCTTGCAAAAATATATACTGAATACTTTACATAGTGGCTGTGCATTAAGGAAAGCAAATATCAAGGCCACTCGACTGTACATTTGTTTACCGGCCAATGCACTTCCAATTACACTTGTGCAATAATAAATAAAAATAGCGAATAAGCCCTAATTACAAGCACGCTACTGCCTCGAAGGGCCTTTTTGGTGAATAAAAACTAAGCAAAATGTCTACGCGTGTAGGCTTAGACTAAGCTTAGGAGAATAGCAGATTTTGGTATTTGAAAAATTTAATATGTTAATGCGTAAGCCTCGAATTATTTCAAATATAAAATGTAATGCATGTTACAAATGAAATTCTTTAAAATAAACTACGAATAGAGCGATCAATGACATGTGTTTGATTGTAAAGAAGTTTTCAAACTGAATTCCAGGGACTTTTCTCTCAGATTTATTTAACCGTAATTTCTTTTACGAAATGAGCTTATTCGTTCGTTAGAATCTAACACGTCCTACGCTTCTTCGCTCTTTCCCAGAAAAGCCTCTAAACTTTTCTTCTTTTAATCCCTGATAACAACAAATAATAAAAACTTATACATATAGCTATAAAGGTACATAAAAGTTTCAATGCAAAGGAAAAGTTTCTAAACAAAACATAAAAAAATCAAAGTTTAGAAAAAATTTGATACTTATAGCTGAAGGTTAATAAAATATTGCAATGAGTTTTAAGAGAAAAATCCTTGCTTTTATATAAGTATGTTTTATTTATATATATATGTATACATAAACCCAATTACAATTACAACGTTAACAACAACAATCGTCGCATTTCATAACTTTTTCCCACAAGTAAGCCCGAGTGATTATATGTGAAATTTGTGTTTTTTAAAAACAGTATAAAATTTCCTGACAGATTTGCAATTCCTAAATAAAATTGTAAAGCTTTCTTTAAGTACTACGATATGAACGAATAAAACAAATATGTGTAGTGAACAACGATAATAAAAACTACGACAGTATTAATAATAGATTTATTGAAGCCCGTCCTTCGAAAGCTACTAATTTGTAAAAATATGTTTATTTAATTTTTTCAGAATTTTTATTTCTTTTATTTGTTCTCCTGAAAGCCACTACTTGGAATGTGAATGCAGGTTGCTAATAGTACGCAATGCATTCAAGTCCGCGTAGGCGCACTTTTTCTATAGCCAAATACGTTCATACATTTATACAAATATCCTTTAGCTTCTCGAAACAGAATACTTCGAGGTTAGTCTTAATAGAAGTCCATAGATACGTATATTATTAAATATTCATTATGGCTGTCGCGGTTTCTCACAAAGCACCTTGTCATCTTTAGAATAAAGTTTAGAGGTGTAGTATTCCAGAAAAACTAATGTCTATAAATATAAATATATTGGTGAATCCCTCCCTGCTGGGAGGGCTGACGTCTGACTGACGGTAGTCCCCCCAGCAAGGCAATATTCGTGTCAACACTGGCCTCTGACACCCCTGAGGATAATATAAAAAGTTATCTGGCTGGACAAGTCCCATTCGTCAAGTTGAAGCGCGTTAACATTCTTAATTTGGATCCACCATCCATAGAGCTATCTCGTCTTTTAAGGTGTTAGTTCCGACTGAAA